AAATTTCAGTTACTGTGCACGTTAAAAACAAGTTATAGTATTTTCTACGCCCGTGTTTTGTTCTCACAGACACCCGATATCAAGTAACGAAACAACATTAAACTCCGGCAAGAAGATAAAGTCCTTTTTGCAAAATCATAGACATGTATTTACAAATCAATTATAATGGGAACACAGAATGATCTTGGAGAGAGCTTTACCGAGCTGACTGCTGCAACCGAACGCGACCAGGGTTTAAAGGCTGAATGAATGACTGACAGCCACAGCGGAGAAAATAGTTTGTGTGAACTCTAATGTAAGGACTTAAATATTCATATGTAGCTCACATTAAGCTATCGTATGGCTTCAGAAGTAACAGAATAATTCGCACAATCGGGGGAAAAAAATATATAAAAATCTCGGATTTGGATCGGCTCTCTCTTACCGATACCCAATCTGAGAAAAATGGCACTATCGTTCCAAAGGAACGCCGTTATTTTTACAGGAAAATGCAACAAAGTATATCGTTTACATGTAGAGCATCAATTCTGCATGTTATGTAAGACTCTCTCTTGCTCTTTGCGCGTGTGAGAGAAAGCGACGGCGAGTCGTGTGCCTTCACACTAGAGTTTACTTTACGACAAATACACAAACACAAGTGCGTTGCGCATCCATTCAAATGAACTGAAAAATATCACAGATCGCTTGACGGAGATAATATATATATATGTTTGTGTGTAGTGTATGAAAAAAAAATGACCTCAAACTTTTAAGAAATATTTCTTGATCACCAAATCAGCATATTAAAATGATTAGTCTGGCTGCTTTGCCATCACAGGAATAAATTATATTTTGAAATAACAGAAAACTGTTATTTTAAATTGTAATAATATTTCACATTAATACTGTTTTTAATGGGATTTTTTATCACATAAATAAATGCAGCCTTGGTTATTATTATATTATATTATGTAATATATTATTATATTATGAATTCAATAACATTTCATGGTTTAATTTAGTTATAGGGTTATGACTTGTCAGAACAATGTTGTTGTTGTTGGTTTTTTGGGTTTGTGAGCGTGTTTTCTGCTGCTGCTAAACATCTCAGCAGCCTGCGCAGCTCAGCGGTTCGGTTTTCCTGACAGGCCGACGGCAGTAAATCAGCTCAATGTCTCCGCTGAGAAGCTCAGGCTGTTTCCAGCACTAATGAAGCCACACGTTTGCTAACAGACAGACGGCTCTTCGGCCTCCACCCGGACTCATGACCTTCTGCTTTATTAGTCCAGAAGTTTCTTCTTCATTCTTCTTGAACGTGTTGTTTCCCTCACACTGGCAAGCAATAATTGATTTCATTAATTATAATGCATGATATTAGTGGTTGACTGAGTTGATCAGCTTGGCTGATATTTGGCATTTTTTTAATTATCGGCATTGGCTGAAAAGTTTTTCTTTTTTGATTCTATAAATGTCACAAGTGGGACTTTTATTGTAACAGCTCTGTGATCTTTTACTTTAGTAAATACAAGCAATAATTGATTTCATTAATTATAATGCATGATATTAGTGGTTGACTGAGTTGATCAGCTTGGCTGATATTTGGCATTTTTTAAATTATCGGCATTGGCTGAAAAGTTTTTCTTTTTTGATCGATAAATGTCACAAGTGGGACTTTTATTGTAACAGCTCTGTGATCTTTTACTTTAGTAAATTCCAAAAGGATTATTATTAGTACATATTATGCTAAATCAATTTAATCGCAGCAGTTGTTATGCTTGTGTTATTTACGATCTTTAAATTAAACAATGCAATTTCATATATATTGGCTTCATGTCAGCCATCATAAAACATATATTGTCAGCCACTACGTTATACATGTTAATGTGTTCATATGCTGACCTTACTGCAATCTGCAATGGCACCATGGCACAGTAATTATATCAGATGGTAATACTATGGTACATCATTACCGTATGCAAATATCATTGTATTGAATTATATGCAGTATATATTTATATCTAGGCCAATATTTGATGTTTAAGTTTGCATTCACAAAGAATTCATCTTTAAAACACAAATAATTTAGTTTAAAGGTGGGGTAGGCGATTTTTCAAAAACGTTTTAGAAAACTGATTCGGGCCGAATAGCATAACAAACTTGTAGCCAATCAGCAGTAAGGAGCATGTCTACTCATGATGAGGAGGAGAGCGAGTTCAGTGCACAGGACGGACATTAGCCGAGCCGAGCGACAGATAGATAGAGATGGCGGATGGAAAACGTCTGCGGAACAAACGAAGTCTTAAGACAAGAAGTAGGACCCGTGTAAATATCGGATCAGCTTTCCAGCGCTGGAGAGAACTGAAGGAGCGGAAGGCCTGCGATCGGACGGCAAGGTTGCTTTGTGTCTTCTCGATAGGTGAGTAACACCGTGTCTGCGCCACAACAGCTAAAGTCTGTTTAGTACACTGGACACAAAGCGACCGTTGAAAATCATTTGAAATTTGTGTCAATATGTCGTGAATAGAATGCAGCAGCAGTTTTCTGTCGGAGATTTGTCGTGTCGTGCCGCATCCAGTGTAGACCATAGGTATGTATATATATGTCTATGGTGTAGACAGCATCACTGATTATGAGTTCTGTAGTATTTTGTCGCGCTGCGCCACTCTACTAATCGTTGCCTGGGTTGCGTACGTTTATGTGGGGCGGAGCTATCAAAATAGGGGCAAGACCCTTTTGGGGTAGGGGGCTGTTTGTTTTGGTGATTTCAAATATCAACATTGGCTACCAGAAATCACTTTCCCCACCTTTAATAGCTGTGAAATGTTAAATATTAAAATATGTAAATATTATAATGTATATAATTTTTTTTTATAATATAGTTTAATGTTTTGATGCCTAAATTAACTTGTAGCATTTAAAGTTATTGAGTTTAGTTTTTAGTGTTTTATTTTTCATTTTATGGAATTTTAATATAAGTTTTTTTAACAAGTTATCGGCAGTGTTACACTTGCGATTTGGATACTATTATAGATTGTATTAATATTTTGAATCAGTTTTTTAATTTCAATTTCAATTTTTGTTAACTGTATTGAACCATGTTATCGGTCAGAACATTAAATGATTACCTGTAAGCTTATTGGCATTAGCTAGAATTTTAACATTCATTACTAATTTACATGGTAATCCTTGTCATGTTGAAAATGCCCTAAAATGTAGCACTGTCATGCTACTGTATCCAAAGAGTCACTTTTTGAAAGTGTATGGTTGACCTTTACACCTCTTGTGTGATGTTTTGAATGATGATCCGCAACTAATGATGCTCAAGATCTTCCAGGCTTCGTTTCTTCTAGTCCGCTAGCCAAGCGAATGGTGCGCAGGTGATTTGCCTGAGGTCACGAGGTGGCATATGGTCTGTTTTTGTGTTATCATCACATAGGTGTTTCCAAGGGCATTTGAGCCTGTCGGTGAGGGGCGGGAAGTCATGTATCCGGAGCGGCTGCTTGAGACATGTGTAACTGTAACAAGGTGTGCTAAATTTAGCCAGTAAGAAATTACATCAGACCATTATCATGACTGTCTCAAGTGATTTTCATAACGCAGGTCTTTCTGAAAATAGACTCAAGGAGGCTTTTGAAAGACAGAGTGTGTTCTACATTTTGCTCCCATGTGAATATCATGAATATTTGCGCATCAAACACCTGTGTGAGGTAGATGTGCATAACAGTTGTTCTTCTTAACAGTTCACCCAAAAATTAAACATTTGCTTGCATGGAACACAAATAAAGGACACAAGTGTCCCTTTAAGCCATTTTTGAACTGATTTTTTGGGGTTTCACATCTAGTTCAATGGTGTATTTTCTTCTCTGTCTGTTTCTTCAGGGGGGCCTTCTCAGTGGTGCGACGTTGCGTCAAGCTGTGCACGGGCCAAGAATATGCTGCCAAAATCATCAACACCAAAAAGCTCTCGGCAAGAGGTAATTCATGACTGCTGGAAAATGTTTTTGGGCAGGGAAAAGGGGGTTGGTTTGAACTTTGAGGTAGATGATATGGCTAAAAAAACCTGTGGATATTTTCAGGTCTTTTAAGGATATTTGATGCATACCTTAATATTAATGTATAGTGGACTGAAATGGCTTGTAGTAATGGGTTTGTTTCAAGCAAACAGCTTGAAATGAATTAAATGAAATACTTTGCTTACATAAAATTGGCATAGTTTTTGGAGTTACATTTTTACCATTCAGAACTTTGGGTTTGGTAAGATTTTTTAAGTTTTGAAAGATTGTCACCAAGGCTGCATTTATTTGATCAACAATACAGTAAACAATAACAGTAATGTTATGAAATATCATTACAATAATAACATAACATTTCTATTTGAATATCTGTTAAAATGTCATTTATTCCTGTGATGCAAAGCTGAATTTCCAGCATCATTACTCCAGTCTTCAGTGTCACATGATCCTTCAGAAATCATTCTAATATGCTGATTTGCTGCTCAAGAAACATATCTGATTATTGTCAATGTTGAAAACAGTTGTGCTGCTTCATATTTTTGTGCAAACCATGATACTTTTTCAGGATTCTATGATGATTAGAAAGTTTAAAAGAACAGAAAATGTACTTTTTTTTTGACAATTTTAAGTTTTGAAAGATTGTCACCAAGGCTGCATTTATTTGATCAACAATACAGTAAACAATAACAGTAATGTTATGAAATATCATTACAATAATAACATAACATTTCTATTTGAATATCTGTTAAAATGTCATTTATTCCTGTGATGCAAAGCTGAATTTCCAGCATCATTACTCCAGTCTTCAGTGTCACATGATCCTTCAGAAATCATTCTAATATGCTGATTTGCTGCTCAAGAAACATATCTGATTATTGTCAATGTTGAAAACAGTTGTGCGGCTTCATATTTTTGTGCAAACCATGATACTTTTTCAATGAATAGAATGGCATTTGATTGAAATAAAAATCTTTTGTAACATTATAAATGCTACTTTTGATCAATTTAATGCATCCTTGCTGAATAAAAGTATTAATTTCTTCATCTTTTTTTTTTTTTATCTTTCTGAGCCCAAACGGTGGTGTATTCTAAAAAAGTATAAATCTAACAATAACCACAGTAAACCTTGCTTTTGTCAATGATTCTGATGTAATTTCTCACAATCTTGATCTGTAAATTCAGTTGTAATTTGGAGCAAAATAATAGTGATTATCAGTTTAACCATTATGCAGCATGACTAAAATGTTATTTGACTAAAACTAGACTAAAATTCTAAGACTTTGTCAACTAAAACTTGGACAAGACAGGTTGACTTAATATGATAAAAACTAAAAAGGACATTTGACACAAGACTAGGTCTTAAAAAAACAAACAAACAAACAGCTGACTAAATTGAAAATTCTGTCATCATTTACTCACCCTCAAGTTGATCCAAACCTGTAGGAGCTTCTTTCTTGTGCTGAGCACAAAAGACGATATTTTGAAGAACGTTGGTAACCAAACAGTTTCTGGTAGCTATACTATTGAAGTCAATGGGGACCATCAATTGTTTGGTTACCAACATTCTTTAAAATTTCTTCTTTTGTGTCTAACCCAGGGCTGTCCACGGCCCTCCAGGACCGAATTTGGACAGCCCTGGTCTAACCCTTTACCACAAGTTCTAGCAGACCCCAAAAATGAAATGATGAACTTGTAAATAAGCGTAATATGGCCACTTTAAATAATTAGGAGAATATAAAGATGTCAGCACTTAGCCTAGTTTGTTGTGTCTCTGTCTGTGTGTTTTGGGAAGCATTGGCCACACACGGGATAATCATACGGTCAGCAGGTCATCACAGGCAGCCTGACCATTTGGCATGCCGCTGACAGCGTGTCTGTGCGGCCAACATGCCAAGAGCCCGGGACTCGTGTACACGCTCGAACACACAACAACGGCTTCAAGTACTCCAACACCAGGGGCTTTTGTTTCTGAATCAAAGCCATGCCACGCATCAAGTGGAAAACTTTCAGATTGTCGCTTTGTCATTGCTGCTGTTGTTTTGACTCAGCTCGTGACCACATCTGACACCTCGCTGTCCCCTGACGCCCATGCGATGATCCGCTTTCACTCAGATATCAGGGTGTATTCATATTATCGCGGTTTTGCTACAGAAACAGGGTTTGGGTGTCGTGTGAAGGCAGTGTCAGCGCTGAAACAGTTCATGAGCTGCTTTGGGGAAGTTGTGATTTGCTGTGAATTCTTCATGTGCATAATCGCAGCACCTGCAATGCAGTATGGAGTTGACCTGGATTTACCTGAAGTGTCACACACACATGCAGCACTAGGTTGATCGGGGCAATCGACTAAGTGATTGTTTCCAATTATAATGGCTTAGTGCTGGGATAAATAGCAATAAAAGTTATTGTTGGAGCTGTAATTGTTTCTAACAGGTTTATTATCCTGCCATGCAAACGTGAGCACAGTTGCATTTTATTGCATATGGTTGGTCTCAAATAAGTGGCTTCCTCTGTGTGAAACGCCAATTATCTTTAGTTTACCTCCTGGCAAATTTGTTTGCATCAAAATTGCCCGTGTTTAGTTATTCTGGACATTTTGTTGGAATATATTCTTTACGTATGATGAATTAATTGTCACTTTGGATAAAAGCTTCTGCTAAATGTACAATGAATCAATTCCAAATAGATAAACTTAAGTCCTGGCCTGTATTTTATCTGGTTGAATATCCCGATTTAGGACAGCACTATTCAAAGTGCTAATCAAAGGAAATTTTGACCGCACAATATGGGCAAAGGTTTTTGTGATCTAAATATCAATGACTATCAGATAATGTTAATAATAATAAACAGTCATAATATAGTTAAGTGCCATTTTACTCCCTCTGTATGACATTTAGAAGTTAATTGGGTTTTTGATTCAAGTTATTTTTGCAGCTTAGAAATATTTGTTTTCTGACAAAATAAAAGCTTGATAGTTTAAAGGGTTAGTTCACCCAAAAATGAAAATTAGGCTGTGTTTTACTCACCCCAGAGCCATCCTAGGTGTATATGACTTTCTTCTTTCAGACGAATCCAATCGGAGTTATATTAAAAATTGTCTTTGATCTTTCAAGATGTTTAATGCCACTCAGCGGGCGTTGCATGCATCAGTCCAAAAAGAAGTTAAATAAAAAGCGCCCATCCATTTTTAAAAAAGTGTCTCACACGGCTCCGGGGGGTGAACAAAGACCTCCTGTAGTGAATCGATGCGTTTTTGTAAGAAAAATATCCATATTCAAAACGTAATAATCACTTTAATGTAGCTTGCGCCAACAGTTGTACACAGAAGCAGTTCCGGGAGCATGACGTATGAGGTCAGCATTTACTGTAATACAGTAAAGTATTACAATAGTAACAATTTAAATTTTTCTACGGAAATAAAAGCTTGAAGAGAAAAATCAATTTTAGTATTATAATTTTACAGTTTTGCTGCAAAATAAAATATTTTTTTCATAAAACATCTTTATTCATCAGTAAAATATTACAAAAAGTAATATTTCTTATTTTTCTGACAAAATAAAATAGTATAATGTTTGAAAATGAATAAACTTAAGACTGCAATGACATTTCAGTACTGTAAGTTTACAGTTTTACTGTAAAATCTATTTTTTATTTTACTGTATTTTCAATAATCTAATAATAATAATAATTATTGTTATAATGATTATTATTATATTTTATAGATAAAGTGTTACATAATGCCTTTAATGCCAAAATTGTGCAAAACTGCAATCACAAAATTTATTCTTTGGAAAAAAAATGCAATTCATTTTTTCCCCCCCAAGTTGTGCAACCCTTATGTACGGAGCCCGGGAAGTCACCTGTAGGAGAAAAAAAAAACAATCCGTGGCGACGGTTTTGCAATCCGTTCCCTCGGGTTTGTAAACTGTACTCACGGATTCATGCAGCAAGCTCCTAGGTAGCCTACATGTTAACAATCATATTGTATATTACTGTCTTAAGTGCACTCATTTATTTAGCCTATAAATTAAAATAATAATAATAATAATAGCTATTATTATTATTATTATTTTAATTTATAGGCTAAATAAATGAGTGCACTTAAGACAGTAAAATGTTTGTCATAAAATAATTCATGAATGCTTTATTTTTAAATAACCTTTTACAGTTTTGCAGCTGTGTTTGTGTACTATTCATTCTTAACATATTTCATTCATTCATTCACAGACTTATGTAGGTGATTTTATTATACTAAGCTTTTCACCCAGAGTTAGATGCATGCTTCACTGTTAAAGTTATTATTAAATATTTCGGCCTATTATAACATTGCATTCAGTTAGAGAGCAAAGGAATGACAACATAACCGGTACATTAGGCTATTGGTTTTGTATTGCTTTTTACCTTTTTCTCTCGAAACTCTATCGTTTTATTTTTTTAGAAAATTCAGGAAATGTTCTATTCTTCTTTTTAGCGTTTATTTTAGGCTATAAACCACAGGCGGAGGTGTTTTATCCTATTGGTGATTAATATAAAATAAACGCTAAAAATAAGACTATTTTGTGAGTGCGGATCATGGTCTCATAGAAAAATAATGTTTAATAAACACAATACTATGCATCCCGCATCGTGGTCACCCGGGGCGGGGCCACAAATCCACGAGTTTACAAACCCGAGGGAACGCATTGCGAAAGCGTGCGCACGGATTATGAATTTGTGGGTACGGATTCAAAAACCGAAGGTACGGTTTACAAAATCTGAGCGCATGGATTGGAAATTCATGAGTACAGTATATTAATCCGTGGGCACGATTTGTTAAACCGAGGGAACCGTTTAAGAATTTGTGAGTATGGTTAATAAACTGAGGGGACGGATTGCAAAACCGTCGCCACGGATAGTTTTTTTTTTTCTCCTACAGGTGACTTCCTGGGCTCCGTACTTATGAATTGTAAAACATCCGTTTAATT